ACTTCTCAGGACTTATGACCATTGGACGATATGGCTACAATCTCACGCTGGGCCCCAACCCAGACTTTCAAGTACAAATGACTCTCACATAAGAGTTTTAGTCAAGATTGGAAGACAGACATCCCATTAATGTTACACTAGATTTACCCAGACATATTTAGGTTAATTTTTATTTATTGTATTATTTCTTCAATGTGTTTCTGTCAGTCATGACTCTGCTTCTGTCTCAGATGCTGCTCAGTCGAAGACAGGAGGTCTGTGACAGCCTGAAGTTCCCCATGGAGGAGGTGGAGCTCAGCATGGGAATGTCTACAGACTTTGAGCATGCAGTGAGTCTGACTCATCATTACATTATCACCATCATGCATATACAGGATTGTATTTACATGAAACCCTCAGATGCTGAGTTTGCGAACGTGTGTTAGGTGTACAAGTCACACATTTCCTTTAAGTTGACAGTCAAACCTTGAAATGTGAATAGAGGAATAGAAAAAAGCCATTCTCATTTGCATATGGGGTTTAAACTCAACTCCTGTTGTGTTTTATCACCATTTTCCTCTAAATTGGATCATGAATAATTTACAGGTTGGTGTTTTAAATTTACAGACGTTTGACGTTTGACTGATGTCATAAAGTAAGAAGTTGCCTCCGTTGCAGCTCCTGTCATGCAGTCATGTGATTTTTTTTTATTGATTAAGTTTAACTGGTTGTTGTGCATTTTGAGGAACAGTGACACTAAGCTGTAATATACTGTGTGTATATATATATATATATATCCATATATATAAATGTATGTATATATTTATAATATATACTGTATATACGTGTGTGTGTGTGTATATATATGTATATATATTCATGTGTTGTGATTGACATATTCCTTTCTCTCACATCTCCCTTCTTCCATTTGTTAAAGATTGAGGTGGGCTCCACCAATGTACGCGTGGGCAGCATCATTTTCGGTAACAGGGAATATCCCAACAGTGCAGCTAACACCCCAAATCCCAGTCCAGTCCCAAGTCCGGCTCCCAGTCCAGAGAAAACCTCCAAGGTGGTGTCGGAGGAGGCGGCCAAGAAGATGCAGCATCTGACGGTGTCTAACAAATGAGCGGAAACTCTTGGAAGAAAATAAACATTTCTGAAGGTTTTAAAAGCAGAAAATCATCAGTGGAAGGACTAAGTAAGTGAAGCCGACTGTTTCCACAGAGCACTGTGGACGTGGGGTTTTAAAGTCTGCCATCATTTTAAAGTGTAATTGCCTAATGCCCCCTCACTTTCGTGCCCTCGCTGCGGCATCAGAACACTCAAACGTAGCAGTGGCTACAGAACTAGGTCGACTGATTTTTTTAAAGGTAGTGTTTTATTAACCACGAACAAGAATAACTGGAAACACACCACACACGTGCACAAGCAAAACAACAACAGTTAATCTGTGTGATAGTGATAATTTGTTGTACTGATGTGATCTTTTCTACTGTCTCATCACAACGTTGTCACTGTTGAACTGGGCTTCACAGTGGAGAGTGCTGTCAGAGCTCCTGCGTTCATCCATCTTTTGTTGTTGTACAGATAAAGACTTGATTAATAAATGATTTATCCCTTTATAAAGACGTGTGGTATTGTGTGTGTGTGTGACGTCAGTTACTTCTTTGTGTTAAGAACATCTATTTAGGTCTCTGACTTTTAAACACATTTGAGAATTCTGTTTGTTTTTCCGCGACGGTCTCGTGTCTGTGCCATGGTGTCTGGCGTTGGGGCGACAGAGTCCATCTATGCAAAGTCGTGACTGTGGTTAAACGTATGTAGTTTTCTTTAGTGAGTGTTTGACACTGGAAGTGGGTGTTTTTTTCCAGAAATGTCCAAAAACAAGCTAATTTCTGTGTCCAGGTTGGACAATGTCTAATCAGGGTGTTGATTTCAGGCTCTGAGGAAAATAAAGCTCAGCAATAAATGATTCTTTTAAACTGTCTGCCATCAGCTGTGCATTTCTTGACATGGTTAACAGTTGGTTTGGTTTTTTACGCAAACACTTGTCAGATTATATATATTTTTTAATATATACTCAAGGCTTTCAAATACACAGATTATTACTAATAATCAAAGTATTGAATGGATTTGTTACATTTCTAAATCAAATGTACATGTATTATTGATGTTTGTTATCAATAATGGATGTTAAATTTAGTCTAAACCAGTTTAAGATACAATGTTGTTTTTTTTTTCAAATTCCTAAATCTTCTCTTTGAAAAGTTATAACGTAACAGCTGCGTTTGTAGAATCTCAACGTGGAATATGAAGGTTTATGAACACAAGGTGGTGCTGTTACTGTAAAATCTTGCGGGTGAAACCTTTCTATATAGGAATTTTGGATGTTAGTTGTGTTACTTACATTCAGAAAATGTAGTTGTCTGGGAGAAATACAGTCAGACGGCACAGAACTCATTGTATCTCTCACAAATTTCACTTATAAGTTCTCCATACATTTCAGAAGCTGAGACGCTGATGATAGACATAGTAATTTGCCCCAGTGCAGGCGGACACAGGGGTCTACTCCACACTCCATCCTTCTTCAGCCAAAAGCAAACCACCACGAATGCTTCTTTTTAACCAGACACCTGTATTTATTGACAACCATCAGAAATAAATAAGGAATTATTGATTTAGAAACAACCAACTAAATATACATACATTTGTGTCTTGCTAACTCTTGCCCAGAGAGATACAGAACAAATACTCTTGTGTTGAACATGAAACCAAAAAAAAAAAGCAATCAGAATGTTGTTTTCTACCTTAAAACATAAAACACAAAGTCCCAGATTGATAAAAACCACTGCTGCGATGCTGCTTGTAGCACTTTTGGCTGATGGCAAGTCTGTACGTTTCTCTGTCTCTCTGTCTGGACGTGTCTCAGATAAGTCCAGACTGTATTCCTGTTCTTTTAATCACGTTTCCTGATCTTGCCTTTGTCCACACAGACAGATTAAACCAGTTTCTTGGCTTCGAAGAAGCTTTTCAGGTGCTTCATCTGCCAAATTCCAGTAATGATGAGGATGAGCGTCTGAGCAATGGACCACCAGAGGACACGCTGGTTGGTGCTCTCACTCGTCATACGGAAACGCTCCTCGCGATACTGAAAAAAAAAAAAAAAAGACCAAAAGGATTTTTAAAAGGAACATTTTGTAGTGTATGTCTGTCATTTTAATGCTGCATCTCCACATTCTATTGTCTGACCCTCTGGTAGTTTTGTTCCTTCTGGATCTGTTCCACTTGGTCCAGAAGTTGTCGAACTCGCAGCTGCAGCTCTGTGAGTTTGTCCTTAGCTGCTATCTCAGGGTAGTTGTTGGTATGTTCTCCGACCTGAATATCGAGATGAACTCTCTGCAAGGTCAGAAAAAAAGGCACAAGATATTATTCAGGGGTGCAGTTTGTTGACAAAAATACCATCTTTTGAATTAAAGAAGTTACGAGTGTGGTCCATTTGACTGCTCTGCACTTAAACAGTTCTTTTCTACTTACAGTAAGAGCACTACAAGTGTAGGATCCTGACTTCTTTTACCCTGTGTTCAAACACCCAAAGTCATCATGCCTGTTCTAGGGAACATGTTAAATTTTAACTAATACGTATGGAGGGGTATGTCCATGGCCAGTGTGACAGCTCTTTGGATACTGATATGGGATTTAACTGTAAGAAACCAAATATTATGTGACCTTCGATTTTAATTCCGTGTCTAGACTAAAAATAAACAAATCAATTCAGGATAGATTACTTTAAAACATTAAAGTCAGGTTGCAGCGAGTCGGAGTGTCACAGCTTGTTATTTTTGTGGTCTCGAGACACAATCAGAACACGTGCAGCACTCAGACCTACAGCACTTCACTTCTTCTCAGATCATTTATAATGAATGACGATACCAAGTCCCAACAGGGTCTGAACAGTGAGAGTGCCTCATATAAGCACACCTAAAATAAATCTGTACTCTCCTACATACACCCTTGCATTACTCCGAATACTTCTGGTATGGTGTTAGTATTGTAATTATAAACCAGATAAACCAGTAAGGCCAGTACAGGTGTGAGAATGTATGTTTAGCTACGCCACTCCCACCCTTGAGCATATGAAGAACTCTATTATGTTCTATTGTGTATGTGATTGCACAATAGAACTCATAGACACAGGATCGCCAAACCATCTCGATAAATCTGTGAAATTTAGGAAGACTTTCACAGTTTGTGAAAGGAGAATGTACTGTGAACCTCCCACAGACTGTAAATGTGGTCATACCAGTTTCCCACCAGCAAACAGAGCCATCTTAGTGGAGTTGGAGTGCAAACAGATCTGATGTTCTCCTGGAGTGTGGGAAGTGAAGGTAAAGCGCCCGTCTGACCCGTACTGACGAGAGAGGATAATCTGGGAGAGTTGTAAGAGAACAGTGTTCAGACTTTGTATTTATTTACACTGGTTTGTTTCAATTAGGGAAAAACAAAATCCTTGGTTCTCACCTTTGTATCTGGATCCTTGATCTCCACATGCATTCCAAGGCCAGGAGTTGACAGAAGGAAGGAATTGGTCTGTTTATCCCACATCTGAGTCCTGTACTTCCCTGTCAAAGACACACAGAGCATATGTATTTACAAAAGGGATTTTGTCATCAAAGTAGTAGTAGTAGTATTCTGTGTCAGGATAGTCTCATAGGGCTCTGTGTCTGGATGTAGTGGCAAAAAAGGGTATTTCAATGGGTTTTTGTGGCCTATAATCAGTTTCTTTTTAAGACCTACCATTAAGATTGATTTTTAAACGGGGCTCAGTGTTATAAAATGTTCAACTGTGATATATAAACCCCAGATGTTAAAACAACACCACTCATTCTGTCTCAAACTAACAACTGAGTTTTGTTATGGCTAACTTTAGGGATGGTTTGACACTGATAAATAAATAAATAAATAAATAAACATATATATATATATATATATATATATATATAATAAAGTAGCATAGTAGCATATTAAATTTATAATAGGAAAATAAAATTTCTGCATTCCATTGATATGATATCAATAGATATTGAAATATTGATATGCTACTGAGCATCACTGCAGTTTTCACGAAAACTTGTAACAAAATATTAGCACATTGTCTTTTTCATAGTGTGCAGTTTTGATGGAAACATAATCTACCAGGAGCAACACTTGAGCAGCTGTCTGGAGGAAGAGGAAAGCTATTGTTTGTTATTACTTTAATGACACGACAGCGTCAAACAGACAGCCATTATATAGCTATGATATTTTTTTATTTATTTTTTATCATAATAGAGACTGGAGTTGTGCACAGCCATTTTATGCAGCACTACTATTTGATCGTTGAAATATTGTAACTCGCGGCTTCCATAGGAAACCATTAATTACCGTTTTAACAGTCTAAATTATATCACAGATTTTCATTCAGATGTGCATTTTTATTCACAGCTTATAGTCCGTATCCATGTTAGTCTAGCTAAAAGCAGCTCACCAATAACCATGGTCTCGTCTGGAATCTCCTCAATGAAGCATTTCTTCTCCGTCTCTCCAATATGGAAATAAAGAGCTCGGCTTGGACAAATCCAAGCTACAATTAAAATAAAAATACCAGCTAAAGAATATAGAAACATCGTGTAGCTTCGTTCACTCAGTGGTGTATTTTTATTTGTATTATTAATATTTTTATTGAGCAGCACCTCCGCTTAAACACGGACATTAACCACAGGAAGCTCCGCCGCTGTGGCTGCTTACGTCAACGTCATATCCTATAGCGGAAGAAGGAAGGAGGGGGATTTCCTCAATGTATGGGCATTTTCTTACCAAAATCAAACTCTTGCAGGCAACACTTTAAAAGAGTTCATTGTAAAGAATACTGTATAGTCTCACAAAATTTACTTCCTTTTTAAGAAACGACAGCTGCTTTTAAGAAACGACAGAGGCTTTTCTCATGTCTTTGCAACAATGTTTGCAAATCATTTTTTTTGTTTTTTGGTTGTTGTTTGGCTGTCCAACCTGTAGTTTATAATAAGTATTCTATAAAACTATAATAGTAAAGAATACCCTTTGGTCTGTTTTATTTTATTAGCTGTGAGTTAATGTCACACCCTATGTCTGAATTGTGTAGTTTACAAGTGGAATTAATTCTTAATTCTCTTGAAGAAACCCCGTAAACAATTCCACTCATTCCTTACAAAGCAAATGGTACACAGTTAATACGAGATTATGAAGTCCAAAATTAACAGAAACATAGACTAGTCCACACTATCTCGCAGAAACTCGAGAGTAAGAAAAATAAAATAGTATCAATTTAAACATTAACCCACGGCCCAATAACCATCAAGCTGTGGCGCCTCAGAAGACGTCTTGAAGTCCATTCTGAGGGCAAAATAATCCGCGACTTCCTTCCTGCGCTAACAACATTCTGCTCGGCTCTAATCAAGAACCGCATCGTCTCGATAGAAAATTAACAGGAGAAAAAAAGTGAATGACGTTAATGAAAATGTCTTTATAAAGATGCACAGCCTGCTGTGGTATTACAAGTCAGCAAGCGTTTCATAATAATTAGTCGCGGGTTATATTAATAACGTCATTAGCCACAAGCTAAGTTATTAGCCTTTTAGCAATAGCCAGCTCCTAACGTGTGAGACATTATTTACGTTTATTGACAGGTGAATTACAGTCCGAGGGATCGTTACTCTGGACAAAAGGCGGAATTAAAAAAGGAAGAAAGGTAAGAAAAACAGTTGCTAATTGGTATGTGTTAGATGTGTGACATTTGGTCCTGTTGTCCTTCGGGGAAGGGAACACGGTCCATGTAGCCATTAGCTGTTTATAACTTGGTTCCAATTGTGCGTTTAAATAATGATTGGCATTGGAAGTAATAAAAACGGTGTAATCCTCTACGATAGGTGGGTAGAAATTCATGAATGAAATTTCTGTGTCAATCAGCGCTTCTATGCCCCATGTTCGAGGCGATGACGTAATGTTTTCATCTAGTTTACCGGTACCTGTGAAAGGTGGATTCTATCCACGAAAAGGACCAGATTCTCATCATCAGACACTGACAGTCATATGAAAAGCACGGTCAGTGGTAGTAGCTTCGTTATATATTATTCTGATCAGATTGGAGGTAGAATAGTTTAAAACGAGGACTTTCACCGAAAGTAAAAGCGGGACCAGTTAAGTGTAACCCACTCATAACCACGATGGCTCCATGACTGTACCAAGGCACATCTTGTTGTTAATGCCAGTCACATCAACAAAACACAAAGGCCGAATTTCCCATTAACAACCGTTCAGTATATATTACAATAATACACATTTTATGTTTTTTCAGTATAACTTATAATAGTAACGTAATATCTGTGGGGTTTTTTATAGGGATGGTGCAGCCTCAACCTGATGGCCCATTGCAGTGGGACATGTCTGGAGAGGACAGTGGAGGGGCCCTTCGGGTCCCACCAGAACTTGCTGCCAATGAAGTGGTGACCAGATTGTTAGGTGATAACCAGCAGCTGCGAGGTAGGACATGTGCCTGTCTACCTACAGCATATACCAGAAGGGCTTTGTATTAATCTATATTATGATTCATTCATACGTATTCACATGAATTAAATGGATTCTGTAAAAAAGCTGGCTTAAATTGTTGTTCAAATCCTTTCACTTTAAATGTTACATCAGATTACACAATGCTCAGTCTTCTCTCCACATTAAGGAAATGGATACTATTGTTTATTAAATAATAATTCTAATCCCACAAACATATCTTCCTTTATCAAAAAATTTGACAAAACATAGTGATGTTGCAAATCAATCCCCTTGAATATGTTCTTCAGAGGCCCTAAGAAGGAGTAACCTTGCCCTCCGTCAGCGCTGCGAGGAGATGGAAGGATGGCAACAAAGAACAAGAGAAGAAAGAGAGTTTCTTAGCTCCCGTTTCCAGGAGGCCCGGTCCCTGGTAGAGAGACTGGCCCAAGAAAACCACTCCTTAAAGAGTATGGTAAATGGACCAACCTCCACCAACTGCTCATCTTCTAGTTATGGCTGCCAGACTGAAGACCTTCAGGGACGCCCAGCCAGGAACGGTCCACATGATGGACCACAGGTAAGAGAGATTTAAACATGTATTTTTCAACAGGGGTTAAAAGTAAGAAATTTACAGTTGTAGTTGCATATAATGTATTCTTGAGCTAATTCCTGACCAATGGTTGCAACAATATCACTATTATAACTCAAATGAAATAAAGTTGACTCTTTTTTTTTTAAAGACACTAGACCAACGAGAGAAGAAGAGAGTTGAAGAAGTGGATCAGCACACTCAGACCACACCCCCTCGCAGCCTGGTAAGACTAATGACTTTCTTTTTTGTTTTTATCTTGACATTATAATTTTCCTTTCATCTAACAGGTCTGCTCATGTGTTTAGGGTGATGCCACTGTGCATAGCTCGTTGAGTAGCACCCTCCCTACTCCCCCTGCCTCAATGTCAGAGGTACTGGGGGAGTTTTTGGGCAGGGAATACTGTCAGGTGAGACTGCTGATTACGTACTTCCTGATTGCACCAATCAGATCACTAGGTCTCACCTTATCATGATTACGCTGAAAAATTCTGACTTCCTGCTCAGACCGTCTGTTATCTCTAAGGCGTTGAGTTCAGTCCTAACCCTGGGTATTTGGCACCACTTAATATTGAGTCACCAACATTAAATCGAATTATTTAAACATAAATTTGTGTGTATAATAATAATAATTTAGTGAGACATTGATTTTCAACATACCATGTGATTGGGCCTACAACATGCCCAGCAGAAAGTTGTTTTCAATGGACTTCTGAGCAGGAACACTGGATTGGGTTTGAGTTCAGAAAATTCCTTTGCTTTTTACTTTGAATCAAATCATCCTATAAATACACTGAGACTGGCACTGCTGATCCACTAATTCACCCCTGTCCACAGCCTCCCACTGCTTCTATAAACCTTTTTTGTTTCCCCCCTTTTTTAGATGTATGTTATTAACCTGAGGTAGTGTATTTGGTCTGTCTCGGTCCCAATTACCTCCTCTAACTATGCACACACAAGTCTGGTTCTGCCCCTAATATGGATTTTCTCTGCAGCCGGTGGAAGGTGCAAGTGATTTCCTTCAGCTGCTGAAGAGCCATAAGGAAAAACTGGAAGAAGGTATGAGAGAGCTGCGGAGAAAGAATGAAGAGCTGGAGAGGGAGCGAGAAGAAGGAGAGAAAGAGAAAGAGTGGATGAGACGCTGCATTGACCAGCTACAATCCAAACTGGCGCAGACACAGGTGACCAATATAAGAAGAGTCTTCTACAA